TTACCGGTTTAGGAACGCAGTCTTTTTTTTTAAAGTCATAGCCTGGCTTCTGCCAGTTCAGATCTAGAGCCAGTGTTCAGTGTGTTCAGGAATACAATTAATTGTCATGACATTGTACATTGTACTGGTTGAAGACAGCTGGACAGGCAGAATGACACAAGGGTATCAGATTCTCAGATTCTGTGTTTCTTGAGAAGGCACTCAAGAAGAACACTGCACGCTGCATAGAGAATTTTAATAATGACCCACGAGCGCACTTTCTCACTAAGACTTATTTCATTGAGTGACGATGAAGAGCTATTGAAGAGTGAAGCTTGATGGATCATTCGGATGATGCGCTAGCTCTAGATGATGGTTTGTGCTTTGCATTGCCGGGGCCAAGGGCTGAGGAGTTACAAGAGGATCTTACCAGCAACTTAGCCCATGAAAGCAAAGGGTGAGCACAGAGCAGCTCGGGGCTCGAAGCAAACAGCTAGCTACTGGAGTAATCGTATTCTGGCCACATACAACATAAAATACAAAATACTGCAAATCCGCAATCCACAGAATGACAGTTCAAACCGCTACTTCTCCCGGAATGGACCACTACTAGGCTACAATGCTGACATTGTAACCCAACAGGAAATCCAACAGGTAATCCAACTCACCGCTGCTCCCACGCTCCCGCGGCTCCCACAGTCATCGGAGCAGTGCATCGGCATATCGGCATATCGGCATTCCCAGTTTCCTCTTCGTCCGAAGGCTGGTTGGGCTGTTGACTTCAATGACGGCAATAAGAGAGGGTGGTCTCCCGCCACATCGCTTTTCGATCGACAATCGACAATATTCCTCCTTCGACACTCGTCCTATGTCCTATGAACTCCGCGAACAACCTGGGATCCACCCATAAATCCTCGCTGGTACAGGGGAAGAGACACTTGGAATAAAAGGTAGATGCGGTACACATATTTTTATTGTAACTGAAGCTTTACCCGAGTTACCTGTCTAAAGCAGTCTTCCTCGAACTCTTTTGGTGGTAGAAGGTGAAGCGGATCCTTTGGTACGATCGTACGATCTGCTCAAAGTGCTCTAGCTAGCAAGTAGTGTACCCTCCAAAAGGTTGACTCTTTCGCTCGTTCATCATCACTCTCATAACTTCAAAAGTTTCACACTGAAACAACAAACATCCATCATGAAATTCTTTTCCTTCGGCTCCAAGAGCAAAGACAATGCTGTTCCTCGCAAGCATGACGATGAGACTTCCACCGGTGCCTCAGTGTCAAGCCGGACCAGTGACAACGCCAAGAAACGAAAAAACAAGAGCAAGAGCAAGAAAACGAGCAAGGGTACTGAAGCCAAGACCCTCAATACAACTGGTACACGTAGTAATGCTGATATTGCCACGGAATGGATGGCTGCCATGACCAGTTTTGAGGGGCATGATGCCCAGAGTTTTGCAGACATGTGGATCTCCTACTTTGAAAGTGCCGAAGACTCCAAGATTATCTTGGAAGACGGGGAGGCTTACAGCCCTGCCGCCTGCGCACCATTACTATACGCGACCTATCTGAGTTTCCCCGATTTGGCGTTCCCCCATGCTCCCATCAAGGACAATCCCAAAGATCCCAATAGTGTGGACATTGAAGAAATCTATGTCAGTGGAACCCACAAAGGCGCGCCCTACACACTCATGCCAGGGGCGCTGCCGGAGGTTCCTCCCTCGGGCAAGTTCATCTCCAATGATGAGCAGCGCTTCCTCTTAAAAATGAAGAATGGAAAGATCCAGAAATGCGAAGTGGTGGCTCTGGGCAGTTTCACAGGCTTTGCTGGGCTCTATACACAAGCCGGTGGCAGTCTTGAGGCTCCTGTGGATAACGATGGGAGCAAGGAATAGATGTAAATTGTAACGATGCGGTCTTTACATACCGGGATCATTAAGATAAGTCTCTTCAAAAAGGTAGAAACCAAATCGTAGCGAAAGCAAAAGCCAGTGCAACTGGGAGCCACTAGAAACCCTGAAACGATCCAGAGCCCGGAGAAACAATCAACTGCAGCAACGAAATCTACATAGACTGCCGACACCGTCCAACATTTCATCACTATAACAACAGCCCAAGCAAGCACTGACGCTTCCCATGGGGGATGAAAAGTGAAACAACTGAAACATTACCCCAGAGCGATGCCTGTGTTCTAGCGATTTGGTAGTTTGTAAGTTGTAAGTACCATGGTACACTTACATTAGAATTTCGGTCGCTTCTTGCTTAAATCGTGTATAATCCACCACTACTAGAAAGCAAAAGCGAGTGGTGATTGTGTGCACTCACTTCGAAGGTTTGGCTTCATTGCAATGTTTGCCGAGTGCAGCTGCTAAATTGTCCCAGGTCTGTTGGCATCATATCTTTTGCGTGGATGCAAAGACGTCACAGTGCTTACCGCAGGTCTGTCAGGACAAGGAGCAACGACGACGAGCCTGCTCGAAGCACCTAGTACTTTTGAAGCATTACATCCGAATAGAATGAGAACCTCAAGCGAGTCTCGTGGTGGTGGTGGGTTAGCCATTGCTGTCCTCCGTCGCAATACATGTAACCAAATGATGCAAGGGCAGAACCCTGGCATATCAAGAATAGGCTTAACCGTGGCGTGGAGCGTGGATACGTACGGTACTAAACATCAATTCTTTGCCATCTAACTATAAAGCTGTCTCAGCACACGATCCAGTATCGTAGTACATAGTACATAGTACATGATGTATGATAGGAGTACCCACCATACCGGTACCCACATTGAATGACCTTCCGTGTGGAGTCACTCCTGTGTACAGTACCGTGATAGTGCCCATCCACACATCCCGATGCCATCGCAGCCGACACAATAAATCCTTGCCGCCACAGGAAGACAGCTTTTGAATGCAGGTAGATGCGGTAACCAAAATTGTTCAATTGAATATTTTGTTCAAAGTAATACCCGAGTTACCTAATGCAGCCCTTGCTGTTGAGGAAGCGACATAGCAACTATGCATACATGTACCCGGAGCACTCTGGAGAACTCTGGAGCTCTTTGGAGCACTCGAGCAAGTCTATTCTAGTACGATCTGGTACGATCTATTTCCATCTACTAGTACCCACAACAGCTCCACAATCCACAGCACCGCTACCCATGCACATGGAGAGCAACTGCTCACTCATCCTTCAGTTGCTGTTGTCATGATGTATTTCTTGACTCACCCACATTTTTTATTAATTGAGCTCTGGTTTGAATCTAATCCAATCTAATAGTCATCATGAAATTCTTTTCCTTTGGCTCAAAGAGCAAAGACAATGCTTCTCGCAAGTGTGACAGTGAGACTTCCAGAAGCATGCGAAGCCTGACCAGTGACAGCAAAAAACAAAAGAACAAGAGCAAGAAATCGAGCAAGGACGAAGCACCCAACAACAGTTCCAAGTCCCCCAGCAATGCTGATATTGCTTCGGAATGGCTGACGAACACATCCAATTTTGAGGCATATGACGCCCAGAGTTTTGCAGACATGTGGACATCGTACTTTGCCGAAGACTCCAAGGTTGTCCTGGAAGATGGGGAGAGTTACAGTCCCTTGGCATGTGCGCAGATATTATACTCTACCTATCTGAGTTTCCCTGATCTGAAGTTCCCTTATGCTCCCATCCAAGACAATCCCAAAGATCCCAATTGCGTGTACATTGAGGAAATTTATGTCAGTGGAACCCACAAAGGCGCGCCCTACACACTCATGCCAGGGGTGCTACCGGAGGTTCAGCCCTCCGGCAAGTTCATCTCCAATGATGAGCAGCGGTTCATCTTGAAAATGAAAAATGGCAAAATCCAAAAGTGTGAAGTCGTGGCTATGGGCAGTACCACTGGTTTTGCGGGACTCTATACGCAAGCCGGTGGCAGCCTTGAGGTGCCAGTTAACAATGATGAGAGAAAGACTAATTAGATCAGTAGATTGATATAACATCATGTAATGATGCATCCCTTAGGTACCTGTGGTGTTTTGAGAAACTAGCAGCCTCTTGGAGTTCCCGGCTCATAACGTTTTTCCATGGCTGTTAGCATGTCTTCTTTGGATGCTGAGCAACTACTTACATGGAGTCTGCCATGACCAGGGACAATGACAAGGAGCCTACTTTGGTGGAACTTTTAAATGAGCACCTAAGCGAGCAAGTGGGAGTTTGCCTTGACTCAGTTCTCGTCGTGGGAGAGGTTAACTAGATCTACAACCAATGGAGCGATTGCTTGTCTTACAGGTACCACACAATATCCAAATGAAATACAAGGGCCCTAACATATGTGAGCAAACCCTCACACTGCCCAGGCTCTACCGGTATACCGTGTCTTTGAAACATGTCAGAGTTGGTTGCACCTATTGTTTGTTTGTTTTACCTCGGCAGGTAAACTGCCTGAGTTCTCAACCCCTTTAATGCTATTTCCTATTTCCTATTTCCTATTTCCTATTCCGGTGAAGCCAAAGTATAAGGATAGAGATAGTCATAAGCCAACAAAACTGAACATTGATGGTTCAATACAAGTTAGGGGTAGGAATAAATCATTAATATTTAAGGTTAGTGCAATCAGCACAACAGCACAATAAGCCAGCAGGAGTTGTAAAGGTTGGAGTTACAATAAGGGAATGGCAGCTGGTAAATTATAGAGTAGCGGGCGGCAACACACGACGTAGTCGGGTGTTGTCGCCAGGGCTAGCTTAATAAAGAAGGTTGCAATGAGGGAATGAATGATACCGGGCGGCAACACACGACGTAGTCGGGTGTTGTCGCCAGGGCTGGCTTGAAAGATGGGTGCAATCTCGAACATGATCCTCCTTCTTCTATCTGTCTTTCTGCCGAGGTATCGCAGCTCCCGCTGACTTATTGCCTCGTGGCATGCCCCTGTTGGTGAAGCAAGAGAGAGTTGGCGAGGAAGGTTCAGTCAGTGCCACGCAGCATCTACTAGCTAGTGCCGGTACCTGGTACCACATGTAAGGTGCAGGCAAGGATGGCTGCCCGCGTGGAGCGTGGATGCATCCGGGACTAGTAGACGCTAATGCTTTCAGCTTGGCCCCAAGGAAATCCCCAACTACTGTTGGCTTTCTTGTGCCTCATGGCATGCCCCTGTTGGTGAAGCAAGAGAGAGTCGATGTGGCAAAAAGGGGGCAACAGGAGCACATTACACTGCTGTGAGATGTTGTAGGACACGCAATCACACTACCTAAGGCAGTTTAACCCTCTTCACCATGGTGAATACAAGCGCCGTCGAGTCCTTACAATGTCGAGCTGTGAGTTGCATCGCGTTGCCAAGCTCGGCTGGGTACTGGTACCGGTATCTGGGAAGGTAGCCCAGGCGCAGACACCATGCCGCTACACCGGTACCACACCTCGAGTCTTCATAGCCTACAATGAAATTTGATTAGAGTAGGAGTCCGCATGTTTGCATGTCTGTACGGTGGCCTCTCAGTTGCTCAGTTGCTCAGTTGACTGCTCCTTGGTGGTCAAGGAACAAGGAGCTCTTCTCTTTGATAGCATCCAAGAAGATTACTGGCTTACTGGCTTAGGAACACAGGTTAGCTTTAGTACTGACTGCCCTGTGGCACAAGGGCTGGCTTCTGCCAGTTATTAAAGACATAAGTTCTGGAAAAGTGGCTCGTCAGACTGGTACTCTGTTAGCTACAGTACATGGATACTGGCAACTGTGTAGTAAAGAGTACCAGTAGTAGTAAAGCTAGCTACTAAAGTTTCATCTACCATGATTATTGTCATACTGTGGCTACTGTCATGGTGCTAACGTGCCAAAAGAACAAAGATAATGCTGTTCCTCGCAAGCATGACGATGAGACCTCCACCAGCGCGTCAGTGTCAAGCAGGACCAGTGACAGTATCAAAAAACGAACGAGCAAGAACAAGAGCAAGAAACCGAGTAAGGGCTGTGAAGCCAACGGTGCCAACAAGCAGTCCCCCAGTAATGCGGCTATTGCTTCGGAATGGATGACGGACATGACAAACTTTGAAGGGTACGACGCCCAGAGTTTTGTCGACATGTGGGTATCCTACTATGAAAGTCCCGAAGACATTGTCCTGGAAGATGGGGAGAGTTACAGTCCTATTGCCTGTGCACAGATATTATACTCTACCTGGCTTAGTTTCCCCGATCTCCAGTTTCCCTACGCACCCATCAAAGACGATCCCAAGGATCCAAATCGTGTCTATATTGAAGAGATTTACGTCAGTGGAACCCATAAAGGGGTGCCCTACACACTCCTGCCCGGGGTGCTACCAGAGATTCCTCCCTCTGGCAAGTACATCTCCAATGACGAGCAGCGCTTCATCTTGACAATGAATAATGGAAAAATCCAGAAATGTGAAGTGGTGGCTCTGGGCTGCTTTACGGGTTTTGCTGGACTCTATACGCAAGCCGTATACGCAAGCCGGTGGCAGCCTTGAGCCGCCTGTGGATAATGATGAGAGTAATAAGGAATAGATGGGAAGATAGATAGATGCAAATTGAATGATGCAGTCCCTCTAGGTACCGGGATTAGTAAGATCACGGTCTCTTCAATAATGTAGAAACATCATGGAACACGTCAACCGCATTCTCCAAAACTTTGCAGCCTAAGACATCTCTCGCCACCTCCCAAAGCAAAGAACAGCATCAAGTTATCAACTTGGGACAAGGCAACCCAGTCAGCGCTATCAAGACCTTTGGGACACAACACGTACTGCAGCCTATGCAAAAGGGGCTACTCAAAATCCCGTAATGATGCAGTCCTTAGGTGGTGGTATTCTGATCTTCAGTCATGTAGCAACATCGTCTACTAAGCTGTGGGTACCAGTAGCGAAAGAAGAAGCAAAGGCGAGTGGTGATGTTTAGACTCACTCCGAAGGTTTGGCTTCGTTGCAATGTTTGCCGCTGACGCTGCCAAATGGTTCCATGGTGTGGCATCGTGTTCTTTGTGTGGATGCCGTGGCGTGGAGCGTGGATGTGACCGGTACTAAACGCTAATGCTTTTTGTTTGGCCACAAGGATCGAGACAACAAAACGAAACCACAAAAAGATTCTCGAAGTGGACCTCGATATCGATAGACAAGATGGCATCGTCTCCATCCTCCTCCGGGGCCACTGACGTGCCTGTGGACAGGAGCACAGTAAGCAACAGTACTAGTAGCGTTTCAAGTGTCGCTGCCACGCAGCCCCAGCGCCGATCATCGCGTCGTTCGAATGCTGGAAATCGTCGTCAAAGTTGGATGGATGTGGCCTTTGCATCGCCTCCTTGGGGCAGTCACTACAAGGATATTGGTCACTGTCGCTTTGCCAAGTGCACCAAACGGATTCAGAATGCTACTGACACCGAAATTGCCAATCTGCCAAAGTCACATTTGGCAGATGCCATTTCTGCCAGTACAGCTTACACGCCAAAGGGGAAGCATGAACGACTCTTGATGGACTACACCAGGGCGCTTCTGCAAAGGAACATTGATCCCAATGATCTCAATCGCTGGCAACGATCTGCTGTATCTTGTGCTGCCTATCATGGATATCCAAAGCTACTCAAGCTCCTCATAGTGGATGCTAACTGTTCTGTCACTCTCGGGACTCCTCATGCTCTGATTGCAGCTGTCGAAAATGGTCAACATGAATGCATGACAATCCTGCTGGAGCACAGAAAGGAAGAACTTCTCACAATTCTGAACAAGGAAGAAAACGATGGTGCCAGCGACAAAATGATTCGAGGCAAGCATCCGGAGAGCGCCCTGGAAAAGACTGTGGCACGACGGGATGTCACTTCGGTTCAAATTCTGAGGGATCAGGGGAACACCCGCATGTCGGATTCTTGCTACTGGTACCACAGACAAAAGGTTCTGCCAAGTCTGCTACAAGCCATGTATGATGGACACGATGAGAATATTTTGGCTTGGAGCAAGTGTCTTCATTGGAGTTTTCCAACCACCGACAGAAGAATGATCAACTACATCTGGCATTTGATTGCACCCAACAGTGACTTTCCCAAGGAAGTGTGGCTCAACATTTTGAGTTTCATGGGACGAGGATGGTGGATGGATGCATCCTCCTCTGCACGCCGATCCATTTCAGATGTCAGAGAGTGGAATGTCATTGACAGCACGAACTAGCTATATAGCTGGCTAGTTACTGCGCAAACACAACACAGTCATCAACATCAATCGATCTATGCAAGCACGATGCTTCGACGGCGACTCGTATGTGTGAGCTCTGGGGGCGCGTTTATGAACTGGACTTGTTTCTATTTATTGGAACGTTCAGAAGGAACCACAGAGTTTGACCAAAGGCATCACGAGGCAATGTCCAAAGAGAAATGGAATATGGGGACAGGATTGAGTAGTGCGCGATAATGCTGGTAGTGCTCTACTTTTGATATACTTTTGTGGAAAGAGACTGTGACGATTTTGCTTCAGTTGCACGGGGTCTCCAGCCCTTCATTTCCCTTGACATCCCCCGTTTCAAGGGACAGTTCTCATAAGTGGTTGAGCACATGTCGTGTGATGGAGTTACATTCAATTCAAAGTTGGCTCTTATACCTCCAACCGAGTTGAGCCTGATTTTACGGGACCAGCAGTTCTCATAATTGGCGGAGCACATACGTTTGATGGAGTTGCATTCAATTCGAAGTTGGGAACCGAACAAATGTGCTCCTATACCTCCAACCCAAGCTAGTTGAGTCTGATTTCACGGGACCGACGCGATGAAATAGACGACGCAGGGGCCTTCGCCGCTTGGCCTTCCTTCCCAAAAGCAGCCTCGACAACCCACTGGGGTAGGCGAGGGGAACGGAGAGCCGGTCGCCTCTTCGATGCTTGATTGCTCGTGAGCCACCTTGTTCCGACGCCGATGATACGAATTCTTGGTAGTGTTGGCGTGCGCAGCTCCAGATATGATCGCAAGCATCCCCTCCAATGCTGCAACTCATCAAACGACAGAATCCCGTGTTCAGATGGCCGCGGACTTAGCGGGGTGTTGCAAACGATTGAATTGCACTCCGTTTCTCATGAGAGTCAGGTCTGTTTCTACCGTAAGGTATCCTTAGCACTGCGTGGATTGAACCGCATCCGCACCCACCCACGCCTATCGAACGAATCCAGTCGAAACGGACATGCGCACACTGAGAATGAGAGAACGACAGGGGGGACTCAAGAGGTTTCGATGCTACTGTTACTAAAGAAGACTGGAAACTGTCCTAGATAAAGAATCGAATCATGCTGAGTTCGACCAACAACCTTGATCGATCAACGAGTTTCACATCCAACGTATGATACGTGGGGCGAATCTGATTCTCAAAAAAGGTCACCCCCAAGCCCCGACGCCTCATTTGAAACGGACTACACGGAAAGCAACAGCAGCAGACGCAACGGTTCAGTCTCGTGTTGTTGCATCACTGTCAATCAATCTACCCGTCAGAGCTTTGCGTCTGGCCTCATAACAGTGACCAGGCCTCGCAACAGTGACCAGGCTCATAATCAGCTTTCTTGCGCATCAGAGGCCAAACCTTTCTGATCGCCACCATGATGAAGGTTTGGTCTTTCAACGAGTGGTTGAAGAAAGCACGTCGTCCCCCAACTAGTCGAGTTGACGACAACGGTGGGGAAAGACATGACGAACATGAGCGCAAGGTTTTAGCCCTCTTTCGCTACCTTCCTTTGGTGGAGGATGCTGTCTGCCAAAAAGTCAAAAATCCATCATTCGTGTGAGATATCAACGACACGAACATAGGCAACAGACAGCTCTACTTCTTTGATGGCGTTGAGCAACGGAGTGTGCCCATTGACCAGAGCAACAGGGCTGAAGCAATGAAGCGGATGAAGGAAAGATGGAAGGCAACGCCACAGAAAATGGGAAACTGCAGGGCGGCAAAGCGAAGACAGAAACGAGCCCGAAGCTCACCAAAGAAGCTCTGCAGGTAGTACTCAAGGACTGTGAGATACCTCACACTGGAAAAAAAGACGACTTGGTCAAGCGTGTGCAGGAAAATGCACATAGTTCGCCGGTCTCTCCAAAGAAAGACAAGTTGGTCAAGTTTATGCGAGAATATGGCATTGATGACGAAACGCCATCTGTTGATGTTAGTGAGAGCTATGACAAAAACAGTTTGGGGACCCTCAAAAACAACGACCTCAAGGCAATCCTCAAGGAGAATAGCCTTCCGACTTCGGGCAAGAAGGCAGACTTGCTTCAGCGTTTGCAGGCAGCTGGTGTTGGCTCTGCAGAAAGTACCGGTAGCCATAAAGCATCCGCAAAGGTTGGCGGACGAAACGAAAGGTCGGAGAAGCCAAGCATTGAGTTTGGGGTGCTCTGCACTTCTCAGACCTTCTTGGGCTCTCACCGGGATGGTCAAGCTTCTCATTTCTCCTTGCACGGATTGAAAGAGAGTCCCAAGGATGATTCAGGAGGTGGCAAAGCTTCAAGCAGTAACGTCGCCTCGGCTGCACTCGAAAGAAGCACCCCACCACGCCAACCTGCAGCCTCGGACAAGAAGGCGCAGGTCGATAGCCCTGCGCCTGTGCCTTGCTGGTTGTGCATCAATCGATGTGAGTCCACTGATCCCCTGGGTCCTCTTTATCGCCAGCTCTATGAATGGTAGCAATTATGCCGGAAGCAGGGTCGAGTGGGCGATATGGTGCTGCGATTTGGGCATGCCTATATGATGAATGCAAAGACACAGCAAATCGTAAGTGGTCCCATCTTCGCTTTCCTGATGGAAGCAGAGTTGAACGATGTCGGTCAATTCAGCTGCGCCCACGCCCCCAGTCAGGGGTTCGAATGAATACAGGTGATGTCTGCTTTGATGGTGGGCGATGATCTGCAATGTAAAGATCCAACGCTGGTGGAGGAATTGCACCATTTCTTTGCTGAACAAGAGCCCCTCGACATGGTTCCTGGTGATCCCAGCGGATCTATTCACCAACTTCTCGACGAACTTCAAAAAAGAATGTCTTGGGATGCAAAGGCAATGCAAACAGACGAATTCCTCAAAGCTGGTGCTGCTGTGGACAAGTACACGATAGTCTGCTCGCCCGCTTGGTGCCTGTACACACGTCCGTCGACAACGGAGGCTCATTCCCTGGATGCTGATGTTCTCGCCGACAAATTGACCGAGGGCAAATTGAAGTTGCCTGTGGCTGCTTTGGGGATCACGCACAAACCCGAGGTACTCAAAGATAGATTGGCATCTCTGAAATTGAAAGGAAAAGAGCGGCATGATACTACTAGTAGCGGCAGCCCATCGGCGGAGGGGGGCGACGAACCTCCAGCTAAGCCTGAGGTCGATAAGTCAACTGACAGCTCGGTGGCTCCCGCATTGCCCAAGCCGCTTGTGTTTCCGCTCCCTGCGTCAGATATCCAACAAAAGATTTGCGAGCGAGAAGCTGCTGGTAGAGGCATATCCGGTCTGTTTGGCCCGAGGGCCTCCTGGTAAGAAGTGAATCCTGCTTGATTGATCATGCATACTTTAATTGCAGGCTCTGAGCGTCTACCCGGTGCTCTCAAATCTACAGGTAATGATAAAACACACACAATTGCCAATGTCATTGCGATTTTCCTTTGGGAAGAAAAAAAACAATATCTTTATAACGGATATGGTGTCCATGGGCAAGCACTCCTGCACTGGCAATCCCCCCAGGCCGAAGCGAGGGTTGATCTCACAGAGAGGCAGCCAAGGGCACCCTCACCGACATCACACTCCCAAAGGAGATGATGCATTTATGTATCACTACAGTATTTTACATTGGCAGACTCTCAGATTTCGAAGGAAAGCGGTGTCTTGTACAGTCCCTCAGTAACACAGCTCTGCGTGAAGTTCGGGAGAGACTACCTCCTAAGCTTCGGGTGCTCTGTGTCTCGTGTGATGGAGAGCTGCACAAGAGCTTAGAAGCTCTTGAGCATGCACTATCGAGCGTTGAAGACTCCAAATGGCAGTATGAAGAAGATCTTAAGGTAGGCGCGATACGACGAGAGACCAGTTTCGTTGACCTGCTGTATCGTTTACTCACGTTTGTTCCAATTCATCCTGTGCGAGCAGCGGTTTGAGGCCGAACTGAAATCCACACAAGAGAAGCTATGCGAAATTGATGCCGACCTCCAAAAGGGAAATGACAGCAAGAGGCGTTTCATTGACTCAATCTCCTCTC